TCAGAACTGCCTTAATTCTACGTGGCATTGATTCAACAAGATGCTGAAAGCATTCTTTAGAAATGTTGGCCCATTTTGATAGGATAGCGTCTTGCAGTTGATGGAGATTTGTGGGATGCACATCCAGGGCACGAAGCTCCCGTTCCACCACATCCCAAAGATGCTCTATTGGGTTGAGATCTGGTGACTGTGGAGGCCATTTTAGTACAGTGAACTCATTGTCATGTTCAAGAAACCAATTTGAAATGATTCGAGCTTTGTGACATGGTGCATTATCCTACTGGAAGTAGCCATCAAAGGATGGGTACATGGTGGCCATAAAGGGATGGACATGGTCAGAAACAATGCTCAGGTAGGCCGTGGCATTTAAACGATGCCCAATTGGCACTAAGGGGCCTAAAGTGTGCCAAGAAAACATCCCCCACACCATTACACCACCACCACCAGCCTGCACAGTGGTAACAAGGCATGATGGATCCATGTTCTCATTCTGTTTACGCCAAATTCTGACTCTACCACCTGAATGTCTCAACAGAAATCGAGACTCATCAGACCAGGCAACATTTTTCCAGTCTTCAACTGTCCAATTTTGGAGAATGGAGATATGACAGTCATAATAATTATTTTAAAAAAGATATTTGGCCAATGAACAAACACCGAGTAACCACAACACTCTTCACTTCTGCACTAATTTAGCTTATACTTGAAACTTGGCATTTTGCTCTGGAAATTTTGTTGGCTCTTATGAGAAATTGCTTGTGGTTAATTATGCTCTTTTGTAAATTACTTTGGCTAAAAGCATCTGCTAAATCTGGCTTTCCTGTAGCTCTAACAGTACAGCGTTGGCGCTTGCAACACCAAGGTCATGGGTTCAATTCCCAGGGAAAGCAAGAAATGATAAGAATGTAAATGTGTACCTTGAAATGCAATGTAAGTCACTTTGGATAAAATCGTCAGCCAAATGCATAAAAAAATGAAAATGCAAATAAATAAATGCAAAAGCAGCATGTTCTGCACAGGCAAGTACCAGTCACATTTTCTACAGAAAAATTACAAATCCACATAAAACGTTTCTATTACATTAAACACTTCATCTCAGGAAGGGTTTGAATCAGATTATATGTGCATTTCCTGTTTTAAGGGTTTCGAGATCAACATGAAACAGGAAACAGCTTCTGTTCTCACCTGATGTCTGTATCATTTCTTACAATGAAGCATTTCTAACACGCGTTTATGAATCTACCCGTCACATAATGACACACAAATCGTCGTCTTATTATTAAACAGCTATAGAGCAGCACTGATTCACACATTTTCCAAGGTACTCAGGCCAGTTTCACTCTCTCAAATCACGAAAGGCAGCTTCAGATCTCAGACGCCCCTCACAGGTTTGACATTCAGAGTCTTGTGAAGGACACAAGAGAAACCATAATGAAGCTGACGGATTTAATGAGGATTAAATCTCCATTTGATTTGGTATTCAGGCAAAACTGAAGGCACTATCGAGAGATTACGGCCACAGTCTTAAGGGCGTCCGTGTCAGCAGGACGGATCATTAATATAAACGAAGCGTTGCAGTGACTCTGCTGGGGTGCCGAGGGTTTGCACCTGAGCTCCTGCCTCATGACCAGCCCAAAATAGCTGTGAATTTGTAAGCTGGACATTACCATTTGGTACTAGAGAGATTCAATTGTTAATTGTTAACAAACGTGCCTTTGAAAGATTCATTAAGTAGAGATGCACTGTTCGGCAGGCCGTTTTTTTGTTTTGTTTTAATTTGGCCAATCTCTGTTCTGGACTCTGTACACAAACGGCAATGCAATCACTTCCCAAAATGTCATTTGTGTGGAAATATTACGAAGTCTGTAAACAGGACGTTAGCAGGCCAGACGGGACACTCAAAAGAGGAGAGGAGAGCAGAAAATACTGTACCAGGCTCACGGTGCTCGAAATATTGGATGAAAAATATAAATACTGTCTGAATTGAGGGTGGGGGTTTATATGAATGTATCTCTGAAGAAAACGCTTCGATGCATTTTCTTTTCCCCTTACCTCCGTATAAAGTAGAGTTTATAAGCACAGTGCTGTTTTTGCTTAAACAAAGACAAAAAAATATTTAAAAATCAGCAACTGGTATCTGATTCAGCCCATTTGCTCATAAAAAGATCAGAATCAGCCATAAAAAGATCATGATCAGTGCATCACTAATTACAAGAGTCGTTTGTTGTGAATGGGACTACACTGGTCACGTACGTCTGTTGAAGTCCAACTATAAACCTCAGTTTGTCAGGAACTAGATCTTCCAGCTTCTAATATAAAATGCATTATACAATTGCATCCACAATTGATTTAGATTCACTCGTCAGCTGCTAACACAATGCAAAATAAGACGACAAACACACCAGCAGCGTCAATAACGCACAACAACGCAGGAATGGAAACTCTATTTGACATGCAAATGACGATCACTGTCTCTCGTAATGTTGTACACATCCACACTTTCCGACGAAGCAAACAATCTGTTGGGAAACTGCTGATGAATAATGAGGCGACAATGACATAAACATCACATTCTTTTGAAGTTTGGATCCTGAACACAGATCTATATCAGAGTCGGAAGACAGTGTTGACATCTGAGGTGTACAACACGCTATGGGTTTAGGATGACTAGCAGTTGTTACTGCTAATACTTCTCCTTAAGATGCACTCTCTTCTATGGGACTTTGTTACAACATTGAAACTCTTACAGGTGCTCCACCTCACATTTCACAACCTCATTCCAACAATGTGACACAGAAAGCTATGTGGAAGTGTGCGCTCAGGTTTCTGAACGCCTCTAAAGGGGAAAGTGGAAACATGAACCTTTACGCAAAGGTCAAAGATACACACAAAAGCATGATCCGCATCAGGATTCTGGTGCGGGCGTGTATCCGTGCTCGTCTAATCTAAGACATTAAAGCACGAAACAACAAAACAGGCAAAACTGTGCGAATGACACTAAGTTTTGTGGTCAAATTAAATGGCCATGTTACTGAATGCTAATTAACTAGATCATTTTGTGAGGCTGCTTCTAATGACACACATTTACTGTTATTACACAGTAATTTAGTACGTTGTTATCCATTAATTAGGCTACTTTTATGGTAATTAAAGATTTACCACACATCACATAGAAATCATCACACTGGGATAAGGTACCGGTCGCCAACATGATGTGGTTTACTTTGTATTTCTTTGCCAGAAATGTACAATGGTAACCATTGCTTCACCATATTTATTTTTTTAAAAAGAAAGAAAAAAAGGGTCCTTTACAAAAAATAAATCAAAATAATACTGTAATAAGCTAGTACCATGGCTTACTGGTGGATGAAGATTGTAATACAATGATACTTTGCTATAGGCTACATCATAATACTGCTTGATTATCATAATCATATAGGCCTAACATGTCATGTGAGGTTCAAAATGTTACTTGAAAGGGTTAGTTCACCCAAAAATTAAAATTATCCCATAATTTACTCACCCTCAAGCCATCCTAGGTGTATATGACTTTCTTCTTCTTATATTAAAAAAATACCCTGGCTCTTCCAAGCTTTATAATGGGAGTGTATGGTACCTTAGACTTTAAAGCCCAAAAAACACATCCATGTGAGAAAAATATCCACTTTAACTTTATAAACTATAATCAATGCGGTGGAAGAGTGACCTCTGACCCGATGCAGAGATAGAGCAAAACAAATTAGAAGTCTAAAACATTTAATTTGTAAAGAGAAATGTGTGAGGAGCTTGAGTTTGTTAGTTTGAACCGCGAGAGGCGTCGACTCTCACCTAAGCTTACGCTACTCCTACATCATACGTCACGCGTCGGGTCAGAGGTCACTCTCCCATCGGAACTAGACTCGAGTACGGCCGTTACTGGAGGCCAGTGATGATAGTTTATTAAGTTAGAAATATGGATATTTTCTTACAAAAACGCATCGCTTCGCTTCAGAAGGCCTTTATTAACACCCTGGAGCCGTATGAGTTACTTTGATGATGGATGGATCCAATATTTGGGCTTCAAAATCTAAGGTACCATTCACTCCCATTATAAAGCTAGGAAGAGACAGGATATTTTTTTACTCCGATTGTGCTTTGCAGAAAGAAGAAAGTCAATTAAATTACAGGAGTAAATTACAGGATAATTTTCATTTTTGGGTGAACTAACCCAAATGACACCATGGAATTACCATTACGGTAGTGTCCAAAAAATGTGATAGAATGAAAAAATGTGATAGTTTGTTATACTGTACAGCCTGTCCATGGCGCTTTATGAAAAATGGGGCAGAACACGTTGTTTGAAGAAGACCCCCTATTTGTTTATTATGATTTCACTTTCATAACAATGGTATTGTAAACTCTGGTTAACCCTTGTAAATATTTATAAAGGACATCTGCATTCCAGATAAATATTATTGTTTATGTTAGGGACAAAAACAGCCCGAGTGTGTCACGTTAGCTATTACATAACATACATGCTCACTGCAATGAAACCACTAAAAACAACCTTTTCGTATAGATTTGAAGACATTAAAATTTAAAACGCACAGAAAATTCGATCTAAATGATGGGGATGATCCATACATGCATATGTCCATCAGGAGCCAACGTATACCATGGAATATTGGACATGTCCAAAACACTGGTACTACTACTATGCTTTTCCGTGGTATTTTGGGATAGTAATGGTGCACGTGCTGTTGATGACCAAAATACAATCTAGGTTGACAGCTGACTGTATTTTGAGAGACCAATATGTATTTATATTGCGCAAAATATGCTGCATAAGCCAATGATTCCCGCCCAAAGACGCAGCAAGCGCGGATGATGCTCAAACCTGTGGCCCAAACATGTTGTCTAGATAGGCAGCTCACTAGGTTTTAAGACACAGCCAGTAGAGTGCAGTCTACGGGTTATTCGTACAGAAATGTAGAATTACAGTCAGAAACATAAACACCAACCTTAAATGTCTGAAGTCCTCCTGACGGAAAACACGGGCTTGAGAGAATTGAGAGAATAAGGTCAAATGTGAATTGTGTACGTTAGATTGCGTCGTCTGAGGAGAATCCGTCTGTCAGTCCATCAGTAAATGGGTTAAAACTTCTCAGACGTATTCTGACAGGTACGATCCTACATAGGCAGGGGAGATCTAAAACGCTCTAACTGTCAACCACAAACGCGTTTTGTTGAAATATTAAAGCCATGAAGTGCTATACTACTGGCCGCCTTCGATCGCACGTCTGTCTTCCTTCTTCAGCGCGACTGTTTATCTGTGATCGTTGAGTTCTGTCTGTCTGCCGCGCTCGAGGGATCGGCGTTCGACTGAGCTAAAATTTAAAAAAAAAACGCACGAAAGCAGGTCTGGAATCAGTTCTCTGAGATGGAACACGAAATGACGCCAGTTTGATTTAAACATTCAGGCAGACCGCAGATCAGTTGACTGTTTTTCCGGCTGTTAGGCGGAGCCTGTTACGTATCCAGAGGAGCCTTTAATCAAAAATCATATTAAAAGTCTAAGGTGTTGTGAACCTGTAATGTTACTGAAGATCATAGATATAACTGAAGATGGCCCATATCCTTATGTTTCATATGTAACGTATGTGTTTACTGTTTTATTTTTTAAACAGATTTTTTTTTAATGGAATGTGCAATACAAATTATACAATGTCACAAAATATTTTACACAAATATTTGCAGAATAAATTTGGACCAGATCTAAAGAATTTGAACATTTTCACTCACATAACTTTTATTTTGGTTAACATGGCATGATAGCATACTAATGAACATGGAAAGGGCTAGATAATAAATATATAATATATAAATACATAAGGAATCCAATGCTGCCACCACGTGGTAATGAGCGTCCAAAACAGGGCAAAGAAATAAAATAAAATAAAAACATTTGACGACATTCCATCTGACAGCCATGACGTAACCACGTTGCATTCATGGTTGCATTTCATATCAGTCCATGAACGGAGGATGATGAGCAAAATATTTAGGGCAAAATAAATAAAAATACAACTGTTTCAAAGATAAGGGTTAAAAAAGGATACGCACATGTAGAACAGACTTGTATATATTTATATAAAGTAGGATGATGACGTAATGCAGCAACAGTAGTAAAGGCAAAGCAGATGATAACATTGTGAATGACATCGGTTTTATGTCCAAATTAAAATTAAAAACATTTCTTAGCCATCGGTGCATTCATTGATATCAGTTGCTCTTTCTGTGATCTCTGTTTTGATCTTGTTGTAATTATAAGCCCCTGAGAATAGATTCTGGATATTTTATATCGTATGAATTCTGATGTATCTTAAATATTTGAGAATGCAATTCTTGGTTTTATAGGTTATAATAAAACAAGAAATAAATGTATATTCGATCAATCCTCTCTTTTTTTTGGCTAAATATTGTGTACATACACGGTTTAACCTATTTTATGCATTTTTATGATTCGACTAATTATCATTGTGTAGAATGTGAAATTGAAAAATATATATATTTTGGTTATTATTGATGTTTCTATTAAATAATGCTCTTTTATTGATTCTTTTTTTTAAAACGCCATGGGAATAAGGCACTCTAAAACTGATAATAATAATATTTAAGAATATAAGAATACTGAATATATATATACAGAAAATTTAAATTGACCAGGTCAAATCACACGCGAGCGCGCACTGCTTCCTCGTGTGCGCGCGCGCGTCTGTGTTTATCGCCCCCTAAAAGTTTTTTCCCATGATGCTCCGCGTGGTCGAGCAGCAAGATGGCGGACGCTCTGGACGAATTTGAGAAAGAAGCTGGATGCGTCCCGATCCTCCATCCCGAGGTAAAAAACACAGCGTTTATCCAGCTGCAATCCTAAACGAAGCCGAAGTGATTTCACGTCCAGTAAAAGCGCCATTTCTACTGTTAACTTCTCACAATGAAGGAGAGGGGCTGAATCCCCCCCCACTGCTGCGTAATAGCATTGCTGCTAACGTTAGCCTTTCATATCCATAGATTTAATTTTTATTTTTCGCTTCATCGCACGTCTAATCACATGTTTTAAGACATGGGTGCTTTTTTATTCCATATTGTGCAATGACACACGTGACATTAGGATATTACAGAAGTATTTTCAGTGTGTTGTGCTGCGTTTGCGTCTAAATGACAGACACCATTCACAAACATCATCATTTGCATCCACTTACCTTCAGATTTGAACATTAATTTTGGCTTTTTTTTTTATTAGTATGGTTTTAGTGCACTAAGAGCCTGTCTGATTCTTTTTGACTGCATTTTGGTGTTTGTTTCGCAAATGTGACAGATTTGTTTCAGAGCTGTCATTGTTGTGAGTTATTTGCAGGCTCGTAAATTTCATAAATATATTCATTAATAAATACTATTATTTGAGCCGCAATGGATGATATGCATGTTTGTATAAGGACTCATAGTGACTTTGCATTGACAGGCGAGTTTTACATGAGAGACCTATAGTTTTATTATGTGCAATAGTAGTACTCCTGACAGCTTGCTCATATGGGACCTCCTGCTGTAAATTATTCATGCTCAAACTGACTGACCTTACAGCTGATCACACACATGTAGTCTCAGTGAATGGCAATTGGCTTAAAGTCATACTAACACACGCTGACCTGTTGGAGTGAAAGGAAGCTCTCAGCAGACCTAAGCTGCTCTTTTTATTGCAATGTTTATAATTATATATTTTTCCGGTTTCACAGAAGGCTTAAGCTTAGTCCCAGATTAAAATGCATGTTTTAGCTGTCTTCACTGAAAACAACTTGTTTTATATCGTATGCACACACTGATATATCTTAAAATATGCCAGGGTCATTCATTGTTTTGTGTCAAGATGCACATCAGTAATATTTATTTTTCTAAGGCATGTTTAAAAAAGCTACTTAAATGCCCAAATTGAACTAAGGCCTAATCCTGGCTTAATCTAAGCCCTGTCTATGAAACCGGGCCATAATGTATTAATATTATAGGTTATTAATAATAAGTGGTCGACCAATACTTATGCTGATATCTGTAGAGCAGGGTTGCAAAGGCATAATACAATTTTAATAACAGACGTGCAATGAATGCTTATTTTACAAAATATACTTATGTCTTTGTAATCTAGTGTGTGTTTGCTATGTGTGCCCTGGTGTTCAGTGGGACGAGCTGGTTGATTTAGAGGCTAGAACATGAAACCATGATAGAGGTGGTGTTTTGCATGTGACTGTTTGAGAGAGAAAAAAATAGATTAGCTGTCCTTAATATCTAGCTTGTGATGCATCATCAAAAGGTTATATTATCATGTGAAGAATTGTTCCAGCCGCTCTTTTGCTGATTGTAAAAAACAAACAAACAGAAAATATAAAAATAATTCCGTTTAAAATAAATAATAATACACTGTTATCTCAGTGATTGGACTGAAAATCCCAGCAGAACAGAAAGAAACCCCTCTACTATGAAAGAGACAGTCTGTGCATTTGTCTTTCTTTAGTTATTAGTTAATCAATGCTGCTAACTAGTGGAAAGTCGACAGGGTCCAGTTGTCACCTGGTGGGCGGCAGTCATATAGTGAGCCAGCCATCTGTCCCTTACCCATCAGACCTGAGGTTTCCTCTTCAGATGATGCTCAGAGGGGTCAACGGGAAGGTGTGTGTCTGCCTTAGTCAAAAGTGTGCCATCTTGTTGGAGGGTTTGTGTGCAGCAAATGTAGTTTTGTGGCATTTCATTTTTCTGCTGTTCCGTTTTCTGTTTCTGCATTGTGGGTGTGATTTCATATGTGGTTTTGTATGTAAAAATGATGTGTGAAATCACACTACAAACAAGAAGTTACTAACTGCTCTGTAAAAAAAAAAAAAATAATCCTTGGTTATGTTAATCCTGAGATAAAAATTAAAAACAGGATTGATTCTGTTTGGCTGTCAATGTTTTCATTCTTCATAATCTGGAAAAAATCGCTCTGAAAAGGATTCCAACAATATCGTTCCTCTGTGTTGTTATCGTTATAGTTGTGGTGTGGACTCTGCTATTCTTTAACAATTTTATAACTACATCTTTATTATTATTGGTGTTATTAGTGTGAATGGGCCTTTATTGTGATGCATTGCCTTGACTGTGTGAATATAATTTCATAATGGCTGTTGACGGTCAGTCCAGACATGTGTTTATGGACGTTGACATGAACTAAAGATATAAATGGCAGCGTAATTAACCGCATTAACAGAAGCTTTTGATAAAGCACACACTCTCCAGAGCAAGATCTTAAGCTGCGTTTACACTGCCACAATGTTTTTGATTTTTTCTGACACAGATCGGAATTTGTTGCACACGTGTAAACACAAAAATCTGATTTTTTCTTTTCTTTGAACTTATCCATGCTGGCAAATAGTCGACGTGAATAATATAAATCCTTTTAGTATGGCCATTCAAAACCCGAGGGCCAACCATGTCGCATAGTAAAGGAATCATCACAGACTCATGTTGTGCTTAATGTAAATGTAAACACAGGATTAATATATAAACACATTAATCCTGGATTAATGTAAACACAGATATCGGATACCAGTCGTGTCTAAAGTGAATGTAAACAGACTGGGACAAAAAATCAGATGATATGGTCAAGAGATCTGATCTGTACATTAAGAATGGCAGCCTAAAAGTCTTCCTGTAGTAATAGGAAGCCAAGCATCTCAGTATGTGTCACATGGTCTCACAGATGCTGTAAGCGCTTGTTTCCTCACTGGCAGGAGGAACATTAGGCCCGTATTGAATTAGACCAACTGTTCTGAAACCAGGCACAAAAATATTGAATGAAACGACCAAACGCCTTTCTAAAGGCCTGCCGGTGGTGCTAAATCTCCCAACTGCTCGCTTTATCAGTTTCGCTCTGTTTGGTGGTCTGAACTGGTGGGATGTCTTGCAAAGCATTATTGTTTTTGCTAATTCTACATGTGATATATAACACATCTGAGTGTCCTTTCACACTGATCACTGTGAATTAAGGAGGATCCGAGACATTCAGCTCAGGATTGCTCATGAGATCTGTTTCTCTGATCGCTTAACTGGAATATAAAAACCTGTATTATTAACACTAATGCCATGCGTATGACTAATAGATGTGGATTAAGTGCACATCTTCTAGCGGTGAGCTCCTCAGTTCAGCCCACCCTGCTGTAATGTCACTATTACCGTGGTATTACCATGCTTTTGAAAGTAACAGTATACTGTACTGACAAATATGTATACATTTAAAATATAAGCTGAATAGTGGTTGACCGATATATCGGTATGGCTGATATATCAGCAGATATTTGGCATTTAATTCATTTTTAATCAATCCAATAAGTTTTTCTGGTTTCTTAAAATCCTTTATTTCAAACTATGCTGTGCTATATCCAGTTTGCCGTTTTGTTATAATCATGTCATATGTCACTGTTTACGTATGTCAAATTTGAGGTTTTTGATCAAGTTAAAACTTTTATTCCCCATATTGATTCATTTAACAATTGTTTCTAATTTAGTAAATATGTACAATACATCTAAATTTAATTGCAGCATTTAAAGCAAATTAAATAGTGTAATATCATTTATATTGGATGTCATCGGCCATCAAAAATAATGTTTAAAACATTGTCATATTACCGTAGTACATTACATTTTATTTTGGTGAGTGGCATCCGGTTATCATAATGCAAATAATGTGGTTTTAATCATATTTTTGGAAAAAAAAATTCTTTTTTTCTTTTTTCTCTCGATTAAATTGTGAGTCAAGTAAAGGTTCAAATTCGTGGTGGATATTGCTTCTGGTTCATTTGTTGAGAGCACTGCATTATTGGAAATGCGGAAGACAATATTTATTTACCATAGTCAAATCGTAGGTAGTTATACATTCAATATATTTTTGACTTATTGAATTTTTCCAGCTGCTTTATGCTTGGTGGCTGTATACTGTGATGGATCATCATCTCAGTACTTGTACATTGTGCTTACTGTTGGACTGACCTCTGACCTATTGGAGAGCCTTTTAGACATGAAGATTTGACTCGGATGTCAATTTATATCCCCTTCACGCAGATTCTCTCATTCTGGATGCTTTGCTGGAGGGTAACTGTGGCATTCAGATAATCTCACTGGGCTTTCCTCTGGAAGTGTGGAGTCATGTGGCTGCTCGCTGAATCTTTGTGTTGATAAAATGAGTGTCAGATCAGCCTTCGATACAGAGACTGAATGCATGTCAGTGTTTATGAAGGTAATAATTACAGACCCACATGGAGAGACAGGGCTTCATATGTAGTGTTTGTGGGTGCAAGTGTGAAGCATGATTGTGCTGATAAAAGTTTAAACACAAGGCTTTATTACTGACCTGTGTTACTCTGTCCAGCTGTTTACTCCTTACCAATGGATTTGTTTAGTCCTCAATATAGAAGACTTTTATTTTAGGGATTAAATGCTACCGATTATGAATGCATACTGTCATCTTTATATGTGAATCTCTGGCCAGTGTGTGCATGTCTCATCTCTGCTGGCCTGGCATTTCTCTGACACACACACACACACACACACACACACACACACACACACACACACACACACACACACACACACACACACACACAGGGGGAGCTCGGTGTGTTTGCCAGGACTCCCCTGTGTCCTGAGTGTTTTCTGTTTGCCCTTTGCATCTGTTTCAAGCTTTTGTTAGAAGGAATCTAATTTTACTGTGTTTTTACACATCTAATTGAATTTTCTGGTGTGTAAAACTGTAAACTGTGTTTTTCTGAAGAGTAACAACTAGTCTGATATTATTTTATTGAGGACTTTTCCTATGATTGTGGTTTATAATTATAAAGTATAGTATATTATTGGTTTAAAACAAAAGGTTTATATACATAGATTTTTTGTTGTCTTGTCACATTTTATTTTTGGATTTGCATTTTCAATGTTAATTTGGAGGGACAATTCTGGACAAAATCTGAATTTATAAAGTAGACAAAGATATTAAAAAAATGAACAAACAAGGGGCAGGCCTGCGGTAGTTGAGTTGTCTCTGAGCGGTGGAAATAAAAAATAAAAAATGTTATAGAATTAATAAATACAGGTTTCCTAAAAATAAATGTTAATGGAAAAGTGAAAAGGATATTGACGAAGGTTTGTGTCAAAATGGCTCGGGTGATTTTTGGGGTTTCTACCGGACATCAGCATCCCCTGGGCCTTTAATACAATAGACAGACCCTCCCCACCAATCAATAGAGCTGAAGCTTCTGGACATCTGCTGGTCATCAAACACCCCCTGACCTGAGCGTCAGCAGCACACGCAGTCTCAGGGGTTATTAGTCTAATTATAATGTTAGACAAAGTTAATAGACAAAAACAGGTCAGAAACATTTTCTGCCTTCTTGCTGATATTATGATATGAGTATTAAACAGACTGTTTTTTACTGCTGTACCTTTAAGATGATGCATAAATAGCTGTTTGTTATGATTAGCTAACCTCTGCATGAACTGGAAAGGGGTTGATATGTAAATGTGGGCGGTCATGTTAATATGCTAATAGGAGACCTGATCAACTAATCAGTTTTTATTTTCAACTTTTTACACAACACAAACTCCTCAAAAGAGCAAGAAAATCCTGTTTTCCAGGATGCGGCCCCTTTAAAAGCACCTTTCAGTTTTATTTCAGCAGTGTGTGTTTGAGTGAGATGTCACCATGGAGACTGACCGTATATAAGACACGTCGTGTCCAAGATCCTCTGTGTCATCCATCACTCATCCTTCTATCCGTTTGCTCTAGAGATGATAGAGATGAACTGACTATCTTTCTCTCCCACAGGAAATTAAAACCCCGAGTCACTATAGCCATGGCTACAGCGAGAGCGTTAGCCGCAAGAGCCACGTGGACGACTACAGCACTTGGGACATCGTCAAAGCCACTCAGTGAGTCTACACACACACACACACACACACACACACACACACATATCCATCTACGCAAATAACCCTTTCCCAGAAACATCTAGATAAAAAATCATCCGAAAGACATCAATTGAGCAGCCTGGTTCTGTCCTGTTTTGGTATTGTGAGTGAACGCAAAACACTGTACATTTGACACTATTGTTTTTGGATGTTTCTCTAGTGCTTGTGTGTTTTATTGTGTAATTTGAGCTGTTTGTGTGTTCAGGTATGGCATATTCGAGCGCTGCCGTGAGCTGGTGGATGCCGGATATGACGTGCGTCAGCCGGATAAAGAAAATGTCACACTCCTGCATTGGGCGGCAATTAACAACCGCATAGACTTGGTCAAGTACGTATCTGTCTGTGTCTTATTTGCTTATTGTATACACATTCCCCTTCCTTTCCTGGATCTGAGAATTTTCCTAGCTAGCTTCTCCCCTCCCGTTATTAAGACACCACATACACAGAGGAATAGATAGTTATTACTCTCAGCATTCAGACGAGCAAAGAAGCACAACCAGTTTGAAATTTCCATTACAGTGTGTGTGTGTGTGGGTGTGTGGCTGTGTGTGGCTGTGTGTTTGTACGCGTGTGCAGATCCTCCAATTAATGAGAGCTTGCTCTGTCGCAGTCATTCACTTTACGCTGCTCTCTTTTGTAACAGACGTTTAGCTGTATGATAAAGCCTAGATGTCTCACTTCAGAAGTCCACTCATTTCCTGAACGCTGTCTGTCTGCTCTTCATAGGCATTACATATCTAAAGGTGCCATAGTTGACCAGCTGGGAGGAGATCTCAACTCTACGCCACTACACTGGGCTACAAGGTGACTTATTGCAGAACAACCACTATATACTATACACTGCTTACTATTTATCAAACTATTAATTAATACACTAAAATGTTGTTGAACTTTCTGGTTCATTCATCACACTGGACATGGAAGCTCAAGTTGAGCACATTCAGTGTTGTGTTATTGTTAACTTGAACTAAAACTAAAAGCATTTTCTGTAAGTGGAATAAAGCTGAAATAAAATATTAAATATTAGTTCACCCCAAAATTTAAAAATCATCATGTTGTTCCAAACCCGTAAGACTTTCACTCATCATTGAAACACAAAATGAAGATATTATAATTAAATCAGGCAGATTTCTGTCCCTCCATTGACAGCGACGCAACTACCTCTTTAAAGGAGCTGTATGTAAGAAATTTATTTCAATTAATCATAAAATGGCCCTGATATGTCACTAGACATTAAGAAATCATGTACATTTTAAATACTTATATCACTGACAACAGTTGTCCGGCCAGCATATTGTCATTTAAAAAGTGCAGTTGCAGCCCTCAACTGATGTTGATGTTGTCATGTTGTGTTTTGGTCTGATGCTCCACCCTCCACCTATCTACCAATCACGAAGTCAGTAGTGTTGCAGCATCCGGGTTGCCAGCTCTGCTCTAGTTACCACAGCTGCAGCTCGTCACGTTCCTGCGGGATCCTGCAGCCTATCTGGCAACCTCGAGTCAGGGAGGAGGGGGAGGGGATACACCGCTCTACAGTAATTTGAAAGTGATTGCAGTGCCAGTTTTGGCCACAATCTTACATACAGCTCCTTTAACGCCTCAAAAAGTTCATAAAGAGATCGTAAAACTAACTAATCCATTTGAATGGAGTGCTTTAGCCCAAATTTGCAGAAGAGACAGTATTGCTTTATATGATGAGCAGATTTATTTTAGGCTTTTATTTACATATAAGCATTCTTCAACTCACACATCAGTTATGGTGAAAATTTGGACTGAACCGGATTAATATGGATTAGTTTTACAATCTCTTTATTAAGTTTTTGAAGTGTCACTTGCGTAGCTGTCAGTGGAGGGACAGAAATCACTCAGGTTTCATCAAAAAGATCTTCATTTGTGTTATGAAGAAGATGAACAAAGTCTTATGGGTTTGGAACAGCATGAGAGTGAGTAATTAATGACTTTTTTTCATATTTGAGTGAACTAACCCTTTAAGGTGAATTATTGAATTGAAATTTTTTTAAATTACAAAAACTAATAAAAGTTAAAGCTAAGCGGATACAAATAAAAGGACAAAAGCACATAATATTACTATAAATTAAACTAAAATTGAAATGAACTGAAAATATAAAAATGAAAGCTAATTCAAAATATAAAAAAATACTTTAATAGTATATTTATACTAAATTGCATGAGTGTGATTTGTTGTATACTGCAGATTTCATATAAATTGGTAGGTATCAAAGTATACAGTTTACCTGCATCAAATACATGCAAGTATTAAATTCATACTGTGCATACTAGGGGTTGAACCGACTAGTCGATTAGTCGACTAGTCGACCTTAATGAAATACCGCGACGCTTTAAGCTTGACGTCGACTAGTCGCGTTGATCATGTGACACTATGATTGCGCTAATTTTGATACTAACATGTTGCAGACATGCATTGTTGCATTGGTACATCAAGTGTGTGTAAATACTTTACTAACCTAACACTAGATATTGTTGAAAACGAAAGTAAAAGCATGACGCACGCTCACTGTTTTACCGGAAATGAGAGTTCAGTATCTTTATTAAAATCATTAAAACAATTTTTTTTCATTTATTTATTTAAACATATTAATGATGTAGCTAATTCACCCGCAATTAATTGGAGTATTACTTGGATCTTCGCATCACTAAGGCGCAGATGTGAATTTATAGCTTTTTTTCCCTTTTCTTTTTTCTTTTCATCCTAAATGATGATGTAACTGCGGGCTGTTTACACCTGGCCACTTCATGTGTTTCTGTGATCTGATAGCTATCCGATCGTGAAAAGACCAGGTGTAAATGCCCTCCGAAACGCACTCGAGACGGATTTAAATCCGATCGTTCACACCGCTTCAGGAGGAGGTCTGGGCCGCTTAACAGACGAAACTGGACAAGTGTAAATGCATCTGGTTGTTGAAACCACATATGTAAATTGGACTTCTCCCAACAATGCTAAAAATAAACGTGTGAGAGCGTATTATAGCGATGTTAAAGCTATGGCAACACGCATCGCCTCAGATGAGCAGCTCGAGCATCTATTCATCAAGCCAACGTGCAAACTATCGCATCACAGTGAAAGTAAGTCACAGACGCTTAACACACAATCATCTTCATTAAAAGTAAAGAAACAAAATGATCTTACCAGTGCTGTCTCTCTTATTGCGGTCTTTGATTTTGAAATTAGCTGATGATCAATAAAATGCAGCTCATTATTGTTGCTTTCGGTTGTTTGAAGATTGGATTTATATTTGTTTTGCGAAAACATATTTATGTGACCAGGTGTAGGCTAAATGGAATCATTTTGATAAAACAGATCAGTAAAAAAACATGAAGTGTCCAGGTGTAAACGGCCCCATTATGAGCTGTCTGTCAGCATCTGTATAATTTTCTGTTAATTAATTGCAAATTGTGGCGTGTTGCAAAGCAGTCCCATCTCTTGTGTTTTTATGAATGACGTCATTGACTAGTCGACGTCGACTCGACTTTGATGTCATAACAGTCGACTTCAAAAAATCTGAAGTCGTTCAACCCCTAGTGCATACTGTAAGGTAGAGTGTGTGATGTTTTATTAATTAAGTCTGTGAATGACACCTCTCGTCCGCTCTCTCTCCTACAGACAGGGCCATCTCTCCATGGTGGTGCAGTTAATGAAATATGGTGCTGATCCGTCTCTCATCGATGGGGAGGGTTGCAGTTGTGTGCATCTGGCCGCTCAGTTTGGACACACCTCCATTGTGGCTTACCTTATTGCCAAGGGACAGGTACGCTTGTTTATATAAAGCCTCCCCAAAAAAAGGTTCTGTGTGACGCTGGTCTCATCAAAACCAAAGCCAGTCAGAATATCTTTGATTATCTTGTAGCTATTTTGAGCCAACGAGATTTCCGTGTGGGCGGAGCTACCCAGGAAAACATGACGAAAATAAAGTAACCATCAAAATGTCTCATCCAGGGCTCGTCAGTGCTACTGTTTCATTTGCATTTGCGATTAAAAAAGATGTGTGCGAATAAAGGTTTATGAAATTTAAGGGCATAAAAAGTCTCAAATAGCCTTAATGGATGTTAATGTGCATTTTTTATCTCCTGCATCTTTTTGGATCAACATCCAGCAATGCTTAAAGGAGAACTCCGGCGCAAAATGAACCTTTGGTCTAATTACACATTGTTACCTAGTCAACCGTTATCTGAGATTTGTTTTCATGATTATCGAATGTAAATAGTTTTATCTCTAAAAACAGTTTAGCCTATAAAGCTAGTATAACGCTAGTATATTGGGCATAGATCAATGACAAATAAAAATCGCTTGTTAATACCACTAACAAGGCTGAAAATAGCCCCACACTAACACGGTAGCATAATGAGGGTCCCTACCTTCAAACCGAAGCATTGAGAACTTTGTCAGTGTCCAGACAGTTTAATAAGAAGATATTTAATACATACAGTCAACTTCGCGTATACAGGCAGGAGCCATCTTTGAAATACAGCCTTTACCAGTCGATCTACGAACGCCGATCCAAGCCTGCTGTTCGCGCTCACCTTATCACAACTTATAGCTCGTTCACATCTCACCAGCGCACTTGGATGGCGTTCGTAGATCGACTGGTAGAGACTGTATTTCAAAGATGGCTTCTGCCTGTATACGCGAAGTTGACTGTATGTTTAAAATATCTTCTTATTAAACTGTCTGGACACTGACAAAGTTCTCAATGCTTCGGTTTGAAGGTAGGGACCCTCATTATGCTACCGTGTTAGTGTGGGGCTATTTTCAGCCTTGTTAGTGGTATTAACAAGCGATTTTTATTTGTCATTACACTATGCCCAATATACTAGCGTTATACTAGCTTTATAGGCTAAACTGTTTTTAGAGATAAAACTATTTACATTCGATAATCATGAAAACAAATCTCAGATAACGGTTGACTAGGTAACAATGTGTAATTAGACCAAAGGTTCATTTTGCGCCGGAGTTCTCCTTTAAGCATAAAATAGGAGTCCCAGTGTATTTCGGGCCTGTTTAAGTCATGCGTTATGCATACAGAGTTTTTCTTCTGGTTGTTATAATTGGTATATTGGAGACAAAATAAACAGAATCTGCCATTTTATTGAATAAACTCTTTTAGCTTCTGTCTGGGTGAACCCATCACAGGAAGGAAAGGCTAAGAACTTTATTTAACACACATTATATAATATATAGATTTTAGTAATACTGGCACAATAATCTGTTAATTAAATACGCACAGTTATATATAGTTTAAAGTAGGCCTATACATATTTATATAGTTATTAAATACAGTTTGAAGCAGAAATATTTTAAAGCCTAGTTTACTTTTTGCATTCTAATAAATGTAATAATTTTGTCATAAATGTCTTCATGTATCCCTTTATTAAGGAAAAACATATTGTTTGATAGTTTTTTATTGTGCCCCTCAATGCGCTGCTAAATATTTAAAGTTCGGGGAACACGTGCTCCTCACTTGCACTTAATACTCTTTATTAAAATGTAAAAGAATCTATGCATTATATGATGCTTTTTGTCCTGCTTAGTCCATTTCAGCCTGCAGGGGGCATTTATGACATTTCTGTCCACAGCAGTTTGACCTCTAGGAAAGAGATTACATGAACCCATTGCATTTGATCTCAGCCTGATCCTACTTTTATGTTTTATTTTCTCCAGGATGTAGATATGATGGATCAGAATGGCATGACCCCTTTGATGTGGGCGGCTTATCGGACGCACAGGTGTGTGTGTGTGTGTGTGAGAGGAAATGTTTTCATTTGCCATTGTTCAAATGTAAAGCTAATAGGTGTGATCTTCTGCGTTCTGCCGCAGTGTTGACCCGACACGGCTGTTGCTGACGTTTAATGTGTCGGTGAATCTGGGTGATAAATATCATAAGAACACGGCTCTGCACTGGGCGGTTCTGGCCGGAAACACCACGGTCATCAGTCTGCTGCTGGACGCCAATGCTAACGTCGATGCACAGAACATCAAGGTAAAGTCCAGACGGCCACACCAGCACACTGAAATGATGTGTGTACATGACATCTGATAATATTTGTCGGTGGCAGGGGGAGACGCCGCTGGATCTGGCCAAACAGAGGAAAAATGTGTGGATGATAAATCATTTGCAGGAGGCCAGACAGGCCAAAGGTTACGACAGCCCCTCGTACCTGAAACGACTCAAAATGGACAAGGTAAAGCAACTGAAAGATTTGTCCTGCTGTGCAATCACTTGACATTAAGGAGAAATCAAATTGTAATGAATGTTGAATGATGCAGACTCAGTATCTGAAGGCAGGAAAACACAACATGACTTTTACACCAATTTCTGCCCCTATTTGTAGTCTGGACGAGTTGCCGAAAGTCAGAGCCGCTTTTAAAAAAAAAATTTAAGCCTATGGAGTTAGATTCACAAAAGATTCTTAAGAATAAAATTCAGTAAAAAATATTCAGAATAAAAATATTCTGGGGGCCATTAAAACAGTGCTCACTTATGATTATTACGTTAATCCGTAGGCAACGCAAACTTTGAGGCATTTGACCCCATCATTTTCAGAAAGAAAAAAAGATATTTGAGAGCTTAAAAATGCGAGATTTACACTTAAAAAAATTCTTACGAACTTCTTAGAATTGAACTTAACCTTTTTCTTAAGAAGATTTTTTGTGAACCTGGCCCCAGACTTTGACTTCTGTGTCTGTTCGCAGGAGTTCAGGCAGAAGGTGATGTTGGGAACTCCGTTCATGGTGATTTGGTTGGTGGGATTTATCGCCGATCTGGACATTGACTCTTGGCTCATCAAGGGTGTGATGTATGCAGCGGTGTGGCTCGTCGTGCAGTTCCTTTCCAAGTATGACGTGCATGCCATTATAGCCATCTGTGGTGCTGCTCAGGCTTTTAATGGATTCTGATGTGAGTGTGGACCATCATGGCTAACATTTCGTCTCTGTTTCTAGGTCTTTCTTTGATCACTCCATGCATAGCGCTCTTCCTCTGGGCATCTATATGGCCACTAAGTTCTGGATGTACATCACCTGGTTTTATTGGTTCTGGAACGATATCCTTTTCAGTCGCTCCATCATTTACTTCACTTCCTGTGCTGTCAGTTTGTTGATCATGATATGGAATTGATGCAACCTAAATAAGTTGATACAATCCACTTAATCGCAATATTGTATTCCAAAAAAATCTGTATTATCCAGAGTGACTCACATAAGCATCCATTTGTCTATTAGAGCGGCATGATCGCGATTAAAACACCCACACCATCTTATTCCTAAATGACGACTATTAAACCTTTGACAAGTCACAGCAAACATTCAAATAATAAAAAAAATTTGTTACAATAATTCAAATTATCGCCAAAGTACTGAGATAAACAATTATGCTTAGAATATAAACACTGGTGTCTACAGAAGCGATCGAAATAGAGCAAATCACCTTTTGAAAGTAACTTGACGCTTCAAATAAAGATTGTATAAATCAGTCGTTACACCAGTCGCCACATCATCCAACTGTTAAACAATTATTTTTCTTTGAATCATTCATTCAAGAGATTTGTTCAAAAATGCTGTTTCATTCAGTAGTCTTTGCGAGTCATTGAATCATTCATCTTTCACCATTCAAACCAATTTTCTTTAAGTAATTGATTCAAATGAATTAGATATTTTTTAAATATCTTGCAGCTGCTAACATTTTGTCAGAACCTCTAGTAAATTACATGTTTTGTTTTTCTTTTCAAATTCCTCGTGCAAGAATCATGATCTCTATTTTAAAAAAAAAAGAAAAAAAATGTGTTTGTTAATTTCTCCAGAATCGTGCAGCTCTAATGTGTATCTGTTCATTGACTCAATGAGCATCTGAATAAGAACGCTGACACAGCAGGAAAACCAAACATCTTCTCTCTTTATCTGTCTTAGTTGTTTTCCCTGCATGAAACTTAAATCTGCGTCACTGAATTGACCCAGTTTATATGGCTATATCTCACTTTTCAATGTTGAAAGGTCTGAATCTGGTAGAGAAGCTCACAAGACCTTTGTTTAAACGTTCTCTTGATGCGATGAACCTAATGAAAGGAACCGAGGATAGAGATGGGAAGTTTAGCCGTATGCTTCAATGTCTGACATATTTTTTTGTCCGTTTGCACTTTTTTTATTTTAAACAACATAAACCGAGATGAAAATATCCATAATTCGCCCACGGTTGTCTGGAGCTGATTTGTTTCAAGTTGTGTTGTAACATTGGATTGATGTTTCATACTGTGAAACTCTGGGCACATGCATCATCTTTGACAGATTTAACATGGATATGGCTATTTTTACGTGGAATCAGGAGTGACTCACACAATAAATGTAGTGAAATTGACACTTTAAGTGATATTGTGTGGGTGAGAGGGGAGCTGGACGGCTTCACAGTATATAGTGTGCAACGGTAGAAATGTCTCGTCAATGTGAGATTATGCTACACCATATATCTGCTAGATATATCTATTGAATTGAGAGAGAGAGAGAGACAAAAGAAAAGTTTAGCAAAGTAATGCAATTCAAAATATTGAGTGTCTTTTGGTTCGTGCCCATCAGTTTTATCAAAAAGTAATAATAATCAAAATTAGATGAAGGGCTTATCATTTTTAAGTATTTATTTAGCTGGAATATCCAAAAATCAGGCATTTCTACTTGGTTATTTAATAAAAAATAAACACTTTTTTTGTTACATTTCCAGCAAAAACAACATTGTGCTATAAATGGTCACTGTGATATATAATTATTACTCATACTGTGATATAAGATTCTGTTCACGACTCCCACCGTGGTGTGAGAGAGATCTAGTACAAACACAAGAAAGCCGAGCTCTTGTCTGGTAATGACACATGTTGCATTTCTATGTTTATGCTGCTGTCAAATAGCAGGAAAACAGGATTTCTGCCCAAAGCTGAAGCATTTCCTCCTCTTTTGAAGGAACCACTCAAGACGTGACTCATGTCTGGATGTGCTTATTGAGTGAAGCTGCTGAAATGTGGTTTGTGTGGCTCTGTGCTGTAATTGGAGGTTGTGGAGTGATGTTTAGTGCGCACAGAACCGCAATGTGTCCAGGTGTGTCTCCAGAGCTCAGGAATAGAAACAATACACTCAAACCCTGCAGCTAAAAAAATCAGATCAAGAGCTCTGGGTGGATCCGTTTCCCTCTCGCCCTTATCATCCGACAATAGAGCATCTCCTCAGAGGATTGAGCTTTTTTCCTGCTGTAATTGTTGCCCGTGTGCAGCTCGGCTCAGCGAAAACACCGACCCACTTACAGAAGAAACAGATTTTCTGCATTTGTGGGTGTCACTCTTTTTAGACAGTATGTCCTTTAATTTTCTCTGGTTGGAGGCGTTGCATTTCAGATGTCAAACAGGAAATGGTACTTTTTTGATGGAATAATTCATTGAAATGTTCCAGCTCAGAATTCCACGCAACTTTCAGTCTCAATTTATAAATTCTTTTGTCAGATTGTTGTGTTTTGTAAGATAGAAAGTAATTTTCATGAAATATCTCATCTTGCGACTTTTTATAAGAATCTTGAATTTGTATGTCTTAAAAACATCACAAGTTAGATGGACTGAGTACTAGTTATTATTCCCACATTCAGTCTTTGTTTTGTGATTGAATCATTCTTTAGAATAGGTTATTTTCGCTTAATCATTTGAACCAGTTCACAAAATGGTCGGAACGATACATTCAAATCAGTTTGATTGACAATACATTTTTTTTTACTTTCAGCAAGTAATCACAAACGATCCTGGGAATTAATTGGCCCAAAATATTGCGAGTCCATTTGTTTCATATTAAATGAAACTTCCTTAACCCTCCACACTTCTCCCGTTTGTCACCATCCACCTGCCGTTCCTGCTCAATAGCCTGGCTCTCTTCTACAACTTTGGCAAGTCCTGGAAGTCTGACCCCGGCATCATCAAAGCATCCGAGGAGCAGAAGAAAAAGGTCAAATCTCTCACTGCAAACGAGTTCAGCTGTAATTAAAAACGTTTTAAAGTTCATCTCGAGCCGCTAAACAACCATCCAGAACACCTATAGGCCATGAGACGGGACCCCAAATTTGGGCTACCGGTACCATTTTGAGGGATTAAATTTCTTTTTGATTTTCATGAAGGTACTCATCTCTAGTGTTGGAAAATGTGTGATAGCATCCGATCCATGGTAGCTTTCATTAGAAATCAACACTTATATCATCCTACCTCAAGGTAAGGTGTTCAGTGACTACAAGAGAGAAAAATGTATCCTTTTATAATTTAAAAAATTTATTAAAAAATTTATAATTTTTTTATTATAAAAATTTATACAATTTTATAAAAAAAGTATATATTTTTTTTTATTATAAAATTTTATTAAAAAAATTATAAAATTTATTTAAAGATAAATTCATTTATCCTTTTTCTTAACATATGTTTGAAAATCGTCCTCCGTAACCAAAAACTACCTTGAATCTAATGCTATCACACATTTTTCAAATACAGGGTCATATTTCTACGCAAAAATCACCATGCGGTTTAATCCCTCAAAATGGTACCAATCAACCCTCTGTCTCACGGCCTACTATGCTTTACGCACAAGAAAGCATCACTTACATTTTCCATTTCTTTTCTCTTGTTCTCTCTATTTAGACTATAGTTGAGTTGGCAGAGACAGGCTCTCTGGATCTCAGCATATTCTGCAGCACCTGTTTGGTAATTATGACTTTTCCATTACTGCACACAACTGCTAAAACACATTCAGCACCAGTCGTCTCCTCGCGCGCTGGCCGGCGGATAACCCAACGGTCTAATTTGCATTGCAGTTTCCATCGCACATTAAACGCTCGTTTTACGACCTGTACTCCACAGATACGGAAGCCCATCAGATCGAAACACTGCGCCGTGTGCAATCGATGCATCGCCAAGTTTGATCACCACTGCCCCTGGGTAGGCAACTGCGTAGGTGAGTTTTCCAAGTCCACATTTTCCCTACTAGCCTTCCCCAACCTCACATGCTCTTCCTCCTGACATTACAATGAAAAGTCATAGATTGCTCAAATGTTCCCCCAGGAAATTCACAATAGTCAAGAAAGCTGCATCCCGTAATAGAAACCTCATATTTCTTCTAGAATAAGAAAGGGTATGAATCATTCCTTTAATTTGTCTGGTTTTCTTTCCTCATTGTTTGCGGACAGGAAGTGGAAACCACCGTTACTTTATGGGCTACCTATTCTTCCTGTTGTGTATGATCTGTTGGATGATATATGGATGCATTTGCTGTAAGTACAATTGAGTTTGCATGGTTTTGTACGAACAACGTGGCGATAAATGAATATAAACAACTTTCAGTTGCTACTATTGATTTTGCATTAGTAGCATATTTATAATCTTGATGAATTGAAAGTTTTTTTGGACTCTGTTTCTGCAGACTGGAGTGTTCACTGTGCTACCAGCTACACTAAAGATGGCTTTTGGAACTACATCACGCAGATCGCCACATGCTCGCCGTGGATGTTCTGGATGTTTCTCAACAGTGTGTTTCACTTCATGTGGGTCGCCGTGCTCATCATGTGCCAGCTCTACCAGGTGATACGCTCAAGTCTAGAGAAGCCTTCATCATCATTAAGCCCAAAGTATACTCCGGGTTTTTCGTGTACACGAGGGTCTGCGTAAAGTGCGTGTGATGCAAATTGCGTCACCAGAATAGTACGTGTGTTCTGTACATGTGCCACCTGATTTTTTTTGTTCTTTGTAAGCCCAGGTCGCACATGGGCATTGAATTTGTTTCGCACTAATCAGTTGTTCCACAAGGTGGCGACACTGGTCCGGGCCGTTGTTTCACAGTAGGAATCGAAACTAAAGAGACGGAACAGCAACAAAATACCGGAGACTGCAACAACAAAAGACGCCCGCATTGACAAGTGCTTGTGTGAGGGGGATATGAGAGAGCCACAACTTTAGTTTAAAAGAGAACCAAGACATTTTGATTCGTCATAACTTCTGGAGAAAAATAGCGCAGACACTGGACAACTTTAAAAACTTTATAGAGTCGACCGCCTGCGTTTGCGCACACTATCAAATAGAGTATACTTTAAAAAAGGCTACACGTTCGACTGTACGCACGCATAAAACAAAAAAACAACTAAGTATGCTATGGGCTTTAGACATAATAAATGCCGTCTTTTTTACAGTCTATGATCGTGACGCAAAATCCTATAACATACCTTATAGTCCAATTTTATTCATATGTTGGAATAGGTTTTGTGTGTATTTGTGGTTTGATGTGTATGTTGCTGCATTTGTTTGACTGTCTCTTGCTAGATCGCTGTTCTGGGCATCACTACAAACGAGCGAATGAACGCAAGAAGATATAAGCACTTTAAAGTTACAGCCACGTCCATCGAGAGCCCTTTCAAGTGAGTCCTTTAAACTCAGTTTATCTGAACAGAGGAGGATGGCAAATGGTTCAGTTGTCAAGCGTATTGATGTTTGTATATTCAAAATTAATCCAGTCTGTAGAATATAATCTATATGATACCCTTAGTAACTTTGTTTCTTTTCGTGCTTGTTTAGACACCAACAATTTAGAGAAAGATCCCATTAGATTAAATAAATGACCTCCAGAAATTATTAATGAATGTGTAGTTATTAAAAAAGTCTTCCATTATGGGATGGACTTTATATGATGCTTATATCTATAGAAAAAAAGGTGGATAATGGCCAATGTTTTACCAAAATATAAGTTTAATGATGACATATCGCTTTGGGTTTGGTTTTTTTCAGTGCTCATAAACTATTTAACCAAATCTCAAGAAGAAAAAAAGTTTTTATTTTTAACATTGTAGGAAGAATTGGTTTTAAACCAGTTGTTATTGAAAACTAAAACTATTAAAAACATTTGTTAATTGAAATAAAGCTGAAAAAATATATGAATATTTGATGATAAAATTAGAAATTTTGCTTTAGCAACTAACAATTACTAACTGAAATAATATTAAAGTACTTTAAAAGTAAATATTTTTAATGAACAGAAACTGATAAAAATGACAAAAGCACATAAAATTACAAACAAAAAAATATTCAACTAAAACGATAAACTGAAAATATAAAAATAAAAGCTAAATCAAATTATTTTTTAAATAATAAAATAACTGTTTGGGACACAGCATGATGATTGACTAATGTCTATAATAAATCAAATAAATAGTCAAACCTGAACATTTTTCATGAATTGGTCTCCCAATTTAGTAAAAAGTATGAACTTATCAAGGTTTGTTTAGGAAGCCGTCGTTGTTTTTGGTAAAGATAGAATTGGTCAGTTGTTTTTAAGCCAAAGACTCGTTTGTATGATTCCCAGTAGTAACGCTGCTCCTCTGTTTGTCCCGTGCAGTCACGGCTGTATGAGGAACCTCATCGATTTCTTTGAGCTGCGCTGCTGTGGTCTGCTGCGGCCCGTGGCCATAGACTGGACCTCTCAGTACACAATAGAGTACGACCAGACGTCCGGCTCAGGATACCAGCTGGTGTAGCGCGGTGAAGGAGTGAGCGAGAGGGAGAAGAGGGGAGAGGCTGCTCACCGGGACCATCCTTCACTGAGACTGCAAACCTCACCCAGTCAGGATACGCATGCTGTTATTGGTTACCGTCACCAACTCCACCCGCCCCCCCTGCCATAGACGGCACTTTGAGACGCAGGGACGTGAGGAAGAGGAGGAGTTTAATGGCTTCAGGGGTGTGTGCAGTACAACAAACTCTCCTCGATTGGTCAGCAGAGACGTTTCTGGTTTCTTTCGCACATCGACTTCCGTTTTATTTTACTTTTGTTTTCTTCCAGTGACCCTTTCCTGTTGCTTTTAAAGTGATATCAGATCTTTATCGGTCGTAAGTCCTGGTTCATCCTGGAAGAGTGTGTGTAGGAATGAGAACTAGCTTAACAGCCGCTGTGCCGTTTGTGGTTTTACGGAATCATTCTGTGAATTTTGTCGTCATTTGCTCACTCGAGATTTGAACTTTCTCTCTTTAAACACAAAGGGAGATGTTTAGAAGAATGTTCACGCTGTTCTTTTCCATACATTGAAAGTGAAAAGAGCTGCGTGATTTCTCATATTAAAAATATGCATACAGGTTTGGAACGACATGGCGGTTAGTAAATTATGACAGAACTTTTCCTTTTTAGGTGAATGATTCCTTTAAGCTGCCTTGATTTGTCCGATCATGATTCTGTATGAATGTTCTGATATTAATCATATAGACTAAAAACATTCATAAGACTAGAGAGAGCCCCTCGTTAAATAATGTGACTCACAACATATTTATTTTAACCTATTTATATAGTATTTTTCAAAGAGTTTCGGTCATTTTACGTCATTTCAGTTTTTACATTCATCATATGTATGTACATTTCCAGCATGTTTAATAGTTTAGATGGGAGAATCCTGCGAAACGTGTCAAGAACATGAACCTGGGTTATATTTCACCCTAAAATCCAAATAAATAAATGAGAAATTGTATTTTGCTTAAAGAAAATAAATCCTGTTTAATAGGTTTCCCCTTAATTCTCATTACCGTAATGCACAAAAACCACCTCCTCATTTAAACAGCAAAGTATTTTTTATTATACTGCCTTTAAATGATGCTAATTATTTTTTAAATCATTGTATTACAAAAAAAAACTGAAATACTGTATTACAATGAGAATTAGAACAAAAAATCGCCTGGATGCATTACGGTAACGAGCGCTGCGGGAGAAACGTGCTGAATTTCCATCAAAATAATGTCACGGTGCAGAACAATCTTCAGTTTCATGAAAATATACTTGATTTTGGGTTGAAATTTGAAATGTGACCTGGACGCGCTCTCGACGGGTTTACGGGATTCACCCAGATGCCCTCCGAATTTACAAGAAATAATACGCTCGTATGTGAACCTCTATTTATTATGTATGTGTAGTTTTAGGAAGTGTACACATTTAAAGTTAAAAATGCTGTTGAAAAGCCATTAAGTGGACCTGATAGCTGTACGATCTTAATGGAAGTTGCGTTTATCACGCCAGATGGGCTTCTTCCATTTGTTTTCACTTTTTTTTTTTTTTTTTTTTGGCGGCGATGATGTTTGTCTGCCTAAAAACAATGCACTGATCTTTTTGTTGTTGTTATTGTTCATTGTTACTGAAGAAACAAGCTCGCTTTCCCACCGTCGCAGAGGGATCTTCACGTTTACGTAAAGAGGAAGCTCCTCCCCCTTTTGCTCTCCTCCATTTCCTCTTCCTGTTGTCATTGCAACAGCTGACAGGACGAACTGATGTAAAGAATGTGCATCTGTACATAAATGAACTAGATTCATTATTCTGTGATTGACTTTTGTTTGTTTTTTTATTTTGTCTGTGTTAGTTGAAGCTGCTCCTAATTTTTTTATCTTACCAAAAAGCCAGAAAAAAAATGGACTATTATCCAAGTGTATGACTGTAGCTTTTAGTGGCGTCTGGCACTGCTGTGTATAGACCTTTGACCTTGCAAGTCTCCACTGCATGTGATCACCCTGCCATCCCAGAGACGCTCCATCTGTAAATAGTGAATGTTCAGTATTTGCAGCTGGGTTTTTTTATTTACTTTTTATCCTTTTGTTTGTACATTTTAAACCCAATGTGTGTATCGTTATTGCGTGTCCCTGCGGCCGCTCGGCAGATGTATTATATCTGAATGTCCCATTCTCGTTGATTAATATCCAACTTAAAGGGTTTCTTTTGTATGTTTCATTGCTGGGTTTGTTGTACCACTGGATGTACAAATTGTAAATGCCAGACAGAGAAGTAGACGTAAGAAACGCTGTAACTCAAGAGGGCACATTGTGATGACATCATCACTCATGGACGCAGTCGATGGGCCCCCGATACTGTAATATTTCGGATTAGGCACAGTTACAGTCATTCATACACGTGACACTGTTTTTAGGGAAGATACTCACATATTGCTGTCCGGCTGTTTTCCCACCATGTGAAAAGCACATGCTCATCTCCAGTGCCTCAGCTGAGATCAGGACGTCACCCTACTCTGCTTCAGATGTAACTTATTGGGCATGGTTCAATTTTAATGGCTTTATTAATAAAACATTCAAAGGTGAAAGGCCTGTGAGTAGTTTTCAATCAAAGCGCACTGAAAACAAGTGTTTATTTCACATTGAACATGTTTATGCTTGTAAAATGTACTAGTGTACTAGCTATTAAGACCCAGTAAAGGGTGGAAAAAAAATAGTTTGCATAAAGGAAATGGACATTACCAAATTTTCATTGTTGTAATACAGAAAAAAGATTCTATTTAAATGATACAAATTGTTAAAAAAAAAAGAAAAAAAAGTACATTATAGTTATGAGAATTGAAAGGAGGGGGTGTTTAATTATGAAAATATCAAACTTAATGGTCTTTATCTAAATGGACAAACTATGCACAATTAATATCTTGTAAAAAGGATCAAGAATATCATGTATAATGAAAATTAACCTTATTTTTAGGACTACTTGTTAAAAATTGTAATAGTGACATTTTCACATTCTCAATGTACACAATATTTTACTTTTTAAAATAATAATCAACAATAATATAGAGGATTTAATATAAAGCAGTTAAAAATATCTGTTTTTAAATTATGATAATGAGAATTTGCAATGCAAATTGATCAAATAATGTTAATTAAGGAGGTAAATGATACATTTACAAGCAAAATGAAGATTTTACAACAAGGTCCCATTAGTTAATGCATTGACTAACATTAATAACGAGCAGAAGTTTTTCTTTGTTAACGTTAGTTAATAAAATACAGCTGTTCATTGTTTGCTCATGTTAGTCCAGGTCCATTAAATAATATTAATAGATACAACTTTTGATTTTAATAATGTATTAGTACATAAAATTAATAAATGCTTTAGAAGAATTTTCCAATGTTAGTTATTTAATTAATGAATTAACTAACAGAACATTATGGTAAAGTGTTACCGAACAATAATAAAGAATCAGAATATTTTCAAATCAATACCTAGGCCGTGTTTTAGTCCAGATTATAATGTGAGGTTACACCTTATTTTAAGGTGACAGTTACATCGTACATACTGTACTGTACATATTAATTAACTTCATGTACTTACTATAGAGTTAGGGTTTGGTTTAGGGTTAATTACCTGTAATTATGCATAATTTACTGTTCTTACTATAGTAAGTGGTACATGTAGTAACATGTAACTACATCACCTTAAAATAAAGTGTAACCAAATGTGAAAATCATTGCCTTTTGAAGTTTAATAATCACATTTGGCTGTATTGCTGGGTTTCCATTCCCAAATTGAAGACCTCTTAAAATTATATTTAATTTTCATTTTATTCACACTCGTGCTCCTAAATACATTTTACAGTTCGCACATGCGAGTAAAATGCTCGCACTGTTGACCCTTGTTAATTGTCATGAAAATATAACAAAATTATTTTCTTCATTTGAAATTAGTAACAACCTCTTGAACAATAGTAAAGTCCTATCATTGAGCGTGAACCAGAGCTCCTGCTCCCTGACCGTAGCCAAATCCTTTAGGTCCGAAGTTCTTTGCATAGCATGCTAAAAAAGAAAAGCAACAAAGAAGAAATTAAGCATGAATGTAGTTCATTAGAGAGCGACATGTCATACGAGTTAAGAGAGAACAGATGAGGTTTGTCTTCATCATTACAGCAACTCTTCACTGATTCCGGTCTTGTTTCAAGAGTTTCTTGGTAATCTAGTTATACGTGTTCAAGTTTTGATGTTGCTTTGCTATCAGAGAATCATCCTGACAGTCAAACAAACAAACACTGTCTCAAAAGCTTGAGAAGTTGGTCATGATGCTATTTGTTTAATATGTGTGACCTAATCATAACCACTGCCCATTTAAAGGGATACTCCACTTTTTTTGGAAATAGGCTCATTTTACAACTCCCCCAGAGTTAAACTGTTGAGTTTTACCGTTTTTGAATCCATTCAGTCGATCTCCGGTTCTGACGGTACCACTTTTAGCATAGCTTAGCATACATCATTGAAGTGGACAAGACCATTAGCATTTCTAAAAAAAAAATGACCAAAGATTTTTGATATTTTTCCTATTTAAAACTTGACTCTTGTTTCTTGATTATTACGCAGGAATGCGAGTATAGTTCCTAGCCATATCAGCCTAGAAAATCGCAACTTTACATTTTCCGTCGGTCTTAGTGCACGATGTAACTACAGAAGAGTCAAGTTTTAAATAGGAAAAATATCGAAACTCTTTGGTCATTTTTTTTTTAGAAATGCTAATGGTCTTGTCCACTTCAATGATGTATGCTAAGCTATGCTAAAAGTGGTACCGCCAGAACCGGAGATCGGCTGAATGGATTCAAAAACGGTAAAACTCAACAGTTTAACTCTGGGGGAGTTGTAAAATGAGCCTATTTCCAAAAAAAAGTGGAGTATCCCTTTAAACTGCATTAGGATGTAGTGCGGACCTTTGCAGTAGATCTCTCCATCTTTCTCCGTCTGAGTGGTCGACTCCAAACTCTTCCCACATTTGGCACAGCGAAAGCAGTTCTTATGCCACGGCTGGAAGACACACACAGATAAAGAACATCATCATCAAGCACTCATGACTTTCTGGTGATTAAACTCAGAAACTGGAGCAAATGCTTCACACTTGGATCTGCTGAAGGCTGTTTTTTTGGCAGTAGATCTCGAGCATCTGCAAACCCTCATGAAGACGTAAAGAAAGTGTCAATGGAGTCGCTAGTTACACACTTGAAGTGAAC